AAAAAAAAAATCCTGTTATGCAAGGTCCATGTTCTGTTTACTTTTTTTTAAATCCTTTACTTCTGAACCATGTTTAGTTTTCGGGTTACCTTAAGTCACAGAGACAAGACAACAAGCAAAACTATACACATGTTTATTCCATGATGGTTAGCAGTAGAAGAGGGTTAGTTATTATTAGCAACTAAGAGATTTAATTGCTACTACTTCCAGAGAAGTCTATAAAGGGAGATTACTAGGTAATATAACAAGAAGTATTATAAAGATGTTAAAAGGGAGCTACACTAAGATAGGCAAAAATCAAAAAGATTTCAAAAACTCTAGAATGAGATGTGTCTTGACCCTAGAATAATTGCCAAGACATCAATCTAGACTAAGATGATACTGGAAATATCAATTTGTCAGATGTGTTGAAACTAGAGCTCTTTTGCCATAAATATGCTGCTTATGTTTGGAAAATGAAAGGAGAATTGTATAGCCCAAAGAACACTACCCTCATAGTAAAACACAATGGTGGAGTTATAATGCAGTGTACCTGGAATTGGGAGTCTTGTGAGAATTGAAGGAACTATGAAGAAAGACAATGAAAAGATTTTGGAAGGAAATCTAAAGCAGTCAGCAGCAAAACTTGGTTTTGGCTGTCGTTTTACCTTCCAACTTGACAATAACTTAAAGCATATATTGTTTCTGGTGAAGAACTACCTCCAGAAGGCCTAAGTGAATGTTACTGACTGGCTTGAACAAAGCCCTGACTTATAACTCATAGAATATATGGGAAGGGAACTGAAAATCAGTTTCTGCATCAGAAGACCATAAATCCAGTGGGTGTTTGAAAGATTTGCCAAAGAAAAATGGGCTGATATTCCTCAGGAAACATACCTAAAACTTGTTGAAATCTATATGAAACGGTTGCAGCAAGAATGTTAGACAATTAACTATTAGCATCAAGGATAGGAGGTAATCATTTTAACTTTGTTTTTTTTTATTTTTGTGAATTAATTTTGTTTCTGTGTACAAAGTGAAATAATATAAGCTTCCTAAATCAACCTAGTATATTTAGAAATGCAGTGTTAAAATTTCCTTGCTCTGCTAAATGACACTTGTAAATAATTTGACTTGAATTTACATAGGTGGAGTTAATAATTTTGTCCTCAACTGTAAATGTCTCAAAATAAATGGTTCTAAAAAAAAAGAAAAAACCTATTCAGAAGTTGCAACTCTCGCGTTTGGGTAGAGAAAGAATAAACTTGTTCTAAATGACTATACATTAATTTGGTTTTGAACTAATGATTAGAAAATAAATGAGGGTGCCAAACTAATTCATATAATACTAGCAGCATGGCCTGGCGTTGCCCGTGCTTGATTCAAAAATCGTACGACTCGTACAGCAATCACTTGACTTAAAATATTTTTGCCCTTCCTTGCCTTTAAAGGAGTGTCCTTTGCCGTGCTGATGTTGCTACATGCCTTACTTCTTGCCTATCTCACACTACAAATTTTTTCTAAGCTCTTTACTAAACATTAAATCTGTTACGAAAAAAGAACTAAACAAAATGAACACAAAATGATCAGCTTTAAAAAAGGACTCGTAACTGGAAAAACCGAATGAAAAAAGAATGTTAACAACAAATACTTTTTCACACCCAACCCAGTTCTGCGGAATCAGAATCAACATTGAGTTTAAGCAAGCGAATGAGCCAAGTGGAGTAAAGTGCCATGCAGATTTAAATTTTTCTCACTTGTGATGAATGCAGCTATCGATTTTTTTTTGCATGCTAGCATGCTAGTTAACATTCGTGTCAGTCATCTGTTAGCTCTCACGCTGGCCAATAGAATCTTCCTGCCTATTTGTGGCAGCCAGCTATAGGCTCTCACTCTAGCCAGTAGAAAATGGCTGCAAACTACATGAAAACTGCCGTAGAAGCATGAAAAAATTGATTATTTCCACTATCGATGGGAGTTGGGAAATGCAAAGTCGGTCTTGGCCTTTCCACTAACTTGGAGCATGTGCATGTAAATTTTGGTGCAAATCAGTTGAAAATTGTGGCAGTGCATTTGTTACACACACACACATCCAGCCTTTTATTTATTTTATATATATATATATATATATATATATATATATATATATATATATATATATAAAATATACATATAACTAGATGACATACCCAGTAATTCTCAGGAAAATGGAAGTTATCCCCAGTTCCTGTTTTCATATCCCTTCCTCGGCTATACAAAAGTAACAATCATTGAAAAGAGCTTTTGTGTGCTCACAGAGAATACCCAACTGCTGTTTCTAGGATTTGGGGAGGAAATACCAATAAGTTATTAATACCAAAATCATAAAGCAACTTATGTAATAACAGGCAAATCTGTTATCCGAAAGTAACAATTCAAAGTAAGTGGCTTTTGCATGTTTATAGAGAATATAGCGCTTAGGAGGGCTAGTGTTAAAATAAATTTACAATAGATGTACAAATAGACTGACATATAGTTTCACAAGAGACTTGTAAATACATTTATATAACATAGATTAACAAAAGATTTACAGCACTGAAAATAGTACAGTTAAATCATAAACACCTGATGATTGAGTACTTCTTATCAAGTTTGGAGAGCCTCTTGACAAACAACATTTTTGGTCTTTCTGTGTGGGGTATAAATAAACAAATGGTTGTGATTTTCAACTCATGAACATCCCACATAAAGTTGGCTATGGGAGAAAACTGGTTCTGCAAGTTTAAGGCCTACTGCAGCCAAGGACCACCCCTGAGCTTTGTTAATGCTAATTGCAAAAATCAATTTCACCAGGAATGTCATCCACTTGAACTGGAAAGGCATATGCGAGGGAATAAGTGGAACTTTAGGAATAAATACAGCTTCACTGCTTACTTTGCCAGTCAGAATTGTCACCTCCAAGATTGTTGGCATCATCTTCTTAATTGTAAGTGATGTGCCATTGCAAAGCTTCAGTGGATTCAATTTTCTAGCACCATCACTGGTGCTCCAGTCTTGAGGTGAAAATTGTGAGGTGGGAGGCCTGATGGTGTTAGGCTATTGAAAAATTCAACTGGATAATTCACAGCTTGATTGGCATTTAGTACAGCATCAGTAAAATTGTAGCTGTGACACTCACTGTTCCAGAAGTTTGATGTTCAAATTATGAACTGTCATATTTTTTGGAGCTAAAATGGTATGACTTCTCAGCCTGTAAACTGATTCCTCAGGTTAGGAAAACACCCTAGTTCCTTTGAATCCAATACCATATGTCCAAAAGACAAACTGACCTGGCCATCCTGCTCAACAACCAAAGCGCCATTACCAACATCCAATAGTTGCTTAAAAAAGTACCAGCTTCCTCATCACCACTGAGCTGCACTCTGTGAGTCTCAGCTTTTTCACACTGCTCCACAGGTAGGAAGACTTTATACTGATGTTTACCTTGTCAGCTCTTATCCTTTTTGGAATCACTGGAAGGGTTTTTATCTAAAGTCTCTCACAAGCAAGAGCCATGTGTTGTGTCTAAGATCTTGAAATGCCATGTAAAGAGCCTCAAAAGAACCCTTATGGCTTATTGTCGCCTTATCCCAGATCAATTTGCAGTCACTGAGGAGATTGCGTTTTATCTGCTGATTGGGGTGCACAGTATACACCCACCTGATAGTTCTACTCCTTGCTTACACCTGTTCCATCTATTGTGTGCCCAGGTGTAGTAGACAGGAACCTCAACATACAGCAGTGTTCAGGCAAACAGGTCACTTTGACATAATTTGAAAAAAATTGCCAAAGTGGTTTCTGGTGTATTCTCAATTACGTTTCAAGTAGTATATACATAGCAGTATATTCTACATAGTGACATTTTCAAGATGAACAGCTAGATTCATCACTGTTGGATGCCACTCGTCAATTTTGAAGCCCAGAAGGGGCTATATTGCCTCGTTACAGGAAATATATCTGACCAACTGACAGATTACATATTGTATATTAATAGGAATACACCCGCTCATGGCAGAGGGCTGCTGAGTATTTTGGAATTTTTTTCTGGAATTGTTCATTCCTGGTAGATCTTCTAATATCAAAGGGTGGAATACGTACTTACAAAAGTGAGGGAAAGAAAAAGACTCTAAATTAATTCAGCTGATAAAAAAAAAATTCTATAGATTATACATACCAATTTCAATATTGAATGGAGTGAAAGGTTTAAAAAACAATTCTTTATTTAATTTTTGATTTCAGTTTTGCTTTATGTTGCGATTCAAATAGATAACATATAATTAAACAGCAGTAATCAAATGTAAAACTTAATGGGGAAGGGTATGTGCCTCATGCTGATTAAGGATATTTGGATTTTTAAGAAAGATGTCTATTTCCACAGCTAGATTTTTTTACACAGACTGCATATAGCATGAAAATGCCCTTCAAACAGGTTGTCATTCTACAGACAATAACAACCACAATATACTTTTTTAAGGGTAGGTTAAAATATGAGCTTAGGTAAAGTTTCTATTCACAAATAAGCTCAATTTAATGTTATTTTATGTTTAAATTACCAAATGGATCAAGCCAATTTCTTTGTATTTAATAAATTTGAACCTGGTGAATTTAATGATGTACATGATGAAATTTGAAGCAAATTAAATTTTGCAAAGTAAACACACCATGGAAACCATATTCAAAGAAAGACTGTGCTGAATTAATGTGTTAAATAAAGACTGGATGTTAGTTTAACATATATGCAACGTTTCATCAATATTGGTTCACAGGTTTAGGCAGCAACTTGATTCAGACAAATAGACAGAAACTGCCATTTATATATATAGATAATACACATATAATATATAGTTTAATAAAAAGATCATAAGTAAGATTCATGCAGAAGAAAAACTAAAACTGTTTTTGAGATTTGTGATATATGATGAATAATTGAGATAATCACCATATCTTTAAATGGGATTATAGAGCATGATTTTATTTTATATTATTTAAATAGTTTTACTTACCGAAGGTTTCTTTTAATATTTTCTTTATCTATTTGTTCTATTATTTTAGCTGCGTCATTCCTGAAGAGAAAAAGCAAAGAATGAATATTATGTATATAAATAAAACATTTCTGAAAAGTATGAAAATAATTTGTAAACAGTAAAATTTCTTAGCATTTCACTGCTTATTGCCTTTTATAAGATTATGTATAAGTAAATAAATGATACAAAAATATACAATAAATGATACTAATATAGTGATTATGAAAATAATAATAATAATACCTTTCTTGTTTTACAAAGATTATAAATGTAGGGAAATGGTTTTAATCATTTGATAAAAACATAGAAAGTGTAAAATTGATAGTCTAGATATCATGTTTATACAGAAGAAATTTCCCAAAAGAACTTTATGTGATCTCCACGACTAAACAAGTTTTGCAGGCCTTCAGATTTTTGTGTCATGCTGTAATCTATTAGCATATGACCCAGATAATTAAGTATCCATACCTACTTAATTCTAACATCTCCAATATTATCTCCAATATATAACTCACACTTTGAACTGTCCCTTTGGTAAAAATCATGTATTTCATTTTCTTGCAGTTAATGGTTAGTCCTTTCTTCTTGTTTTTACTGTCTACACTGTCTAATAATTTTTTCAATTTTCCCCTGAATCTGCCATCAATACAGTGTTGTTTGTATAGCATTTTCTTTTTTTTTTTTTTTACTAATGTTCATCCAATAGCAAATCAAGAGCAACTCAATTCAAAGTGTTATAAAATGAGGCTGTTGTATGAGAATAAGAGAAAGAAGTAAGAAGTGCTGTTTATGAGGTTATGTCAGAAAGATAATGGTTAACCCTAAACCAAAAAGGTTAAGATTGTAGTGAATGGGAAAACATCCTCTTGGGAGTCTGTTCCACAAAGTAGTGGTTTTTAAGAAGCAGCTGTCTAAGTGGAACTTCCTTCTTATTAAGGAAATGAGGATGATTTGTTACTGTATATGATGGGTTTTAGCTGTGAAAGTAATTACTGGAGTAACTAAGATATATAGCTTGTTAGAATATTTGGCATAGAAATAGTGACAGAACAGTGAGAGTTTTCCAATGTTTCATCTGTGGGAAAAGAGCTGTAGGGTGGAAAATAATTAATCACCCACAATGTTGTGTAGATGCTTTTGAAGTCTATCAAGACTGGTGCATTGTAGCCCAGATATGGCAGCAATACTCTTTTAAAGATAAAGTATGGCAGGAAGAGTCAAATATCTCCTACAATGGAATGACAAGAGAATTACCATTTTTCCAGTATCTTATGGGGTGGATTGTATATATGAGTCATTTTAAGGTCTAGGTGAGCTTGAGTCCCAATTGAATGTTATAAGCCAGTCCTTCCCACATTGAGCTGCCAGAGCTTGGTCAGAGGAGAGACCATCTGCCAAGCTTTGGTCATCTAGAATTTTGGAGATGCACTCATACACTGCTGTATCATCTGCATAGATATTCAACAATGATCTGAATATGTTGCTAGGCAGATCATTGATATAAAGCAGAAAGAGAGTAGGATCAAGAAGAGTCTTGGGGAACATCTGCACTAGTTTCATGAGCTTCAGGAGACTGGATGTTAAAATTATTTTCACCAATAATATGTGCTGGTAAATCTTCTAGCCCTCTCAGAATTATCTCACTGAAATAAATCCATTGAGAAAACACATCTTTAGCCTGTTGGTTGGGGTCAAGAATATGCTAACTGCATCCTTGTCACCAGGTGTAATACCCTACCAAAAGAGTCATCTGTTTGCTATATTTATGTCAACTTTTTGGACTCACATGCAAAATACACCTACATTTACCATTTTTAAATCTCATACAAACTAGACTTATATCTACTGTGTTGACTCTCATATAAACAAGAACTGTGTCTACCTATCTATTGTTTATTAAATGACAGAAGTCATTATTAAATAACATAGAAAAAGTTGATATACCAGTTGATATACCATAAAAGAAAAATTAATATTTATATCAAATTTTTATAATTAAGAATGAATCTTTCTTAGATTTACTAAAAGAGCTCATAGGTTTTGCTTTTTCTACTAGAAATCTATTTTGATACTAAAGGGCACTTGAACTTAGATAATTTTTTTTTTTTCATTTGGTATATATTAACATGTAATATTGGTTCAATGTAATAATCTGAAATATTCTCTTACCGAAGTTTTCTTTTATGTATATTTAAATGTTATTCAAGAATTTTAAAGGGAAAAAACTCTTATTTAACTCATATTTATTACAACGTTTCAGCTGTTGTACACTCCGGCCTTCTTCAGGTGGTTGGAATGTCAAACTGAACCCTTTATTTCACTGCTCTAGTTCCACGTGCCATGTTATCTTCCCTCTGAAAATTCTCCATTGCCTTAACCAGGTATTGAACACACACTCTTTGGGTCCTGTCACTTTATCCACTGTGCCATGTGTCCTTGAGGACATCTGGATATGAATTTCTGGGTATTATAAACCTAATGTCTTCAGCAACCATTTTTACCAGTGATCATATTGCAATTTTGCTGTTATCATTGCATGTTTTTACCAGAGTTCATATTGCAACTTTGTTGTTGTTATCGCTTTTCTCTGGCACTCCTTATTACTGGTTCCCATATTGTATTTATTTCTATGCTTGGTCGGCTCAGGAGATTTTTGTGGCCTAGCATATGTGCTGATTCCTTAAGTTTATGAATTTTCCAATGGTGTTCCTTGTCTATGATCTCAACCTGATCCCACAGAGGGCGGTGATCTCCCTTCTCTCTCCATATGTGGTCAGCCACGCCTGATTTTTCCACTTCCCCTCATGTTACAGCTTTCTGGTGCTCTTGAAGCCTTACCTTGAGTGGGTGGCCTGTCTCTCCTTTATATTTCTTTCTGCAGCTGCATGGGATAGCGTACACACAGTCTTTAGTTATGTTCTCCTCTATGGGGGGGGGTCTTATCTGCGAAGTGTTGTCAAGCTTTTGAAGGTTGTTCTGATGTTATCTCGACTAATGTCTCTTATGACTTTTGCTCAGTGTTGTAAGCAGCAGACGATCCCTTTCTTTACACTGTATGGATGGTGGGAGTTGAAATTGAGGTACTGTCCGGTGAATGTCGGTTTACGGTATACGGATGTCTTAAACCCATGCTCTGTTCGAGATATTAGTACATCCAGGAATGGGAGTGTGTTGTTACTTTCTTTCTCCATTCCTGAACATCTTCCTGGTGTAGCCAGAGTATGAAGGTGTCATCTACGTACCGTAACCATATAGTTGGCTTTAGAGATATAGATTCTAATGCCATTTCCTCAAAGTATTCCATGTATATATTCGCCATTGCTGGTGATAATGGCGAGCCCATTGCTAAGCCTTCATCCTGTCGATATATGTGTGAACCCATTCCGAAGTGTGTTGTTTGTGTACAGAAAGTCTACATCTCCATCAGATTATCTATTGGAATACTGGTCTGTTCTTCTAGGGTTGAGTCAGAGGCCAATCTGTCTCTGACTACTGAGAGTGCGTCCTCTGTGGGTACCTTGGTGTCCAAGCTCACCATCTGGTTGGATAGGATGGGAGCATTGATTATTTCCACAAAGTGAGCAGAGTTTTGGACATATGAAGGAGACTTTCCGATCAATGAGTCAATTATATCTACAAGGGAGCAACTCAGAGGGTGGCACACAGAGCCTTGGCAACTAACAATCGGCCTGAGTGAAATACCGTCTTTGTGAATCTTAGGGAGACCTTATATATGAGGTAGCTTGGTGTAACGCTGCGATAACTGCCTATACGTCTTAGGTGCAAAGTGATACTTGTTCTTGATTAGTATCTGTGACAGTTTGCATTCCATTTTCATAGTAGGATCCTTTTTTCCTTTGCTGTAGCTACCATTGCTAATGAGGTCTTCCAGCTTTCTTATATAATCTGATTTGTCCATCACTACAGTCGCATTACCTTTGTCAGCCGGTAGTATGATGATGTTTTGGTTCCTCTGTAGGGATCCAGTCGCCAACCTCTCCAATTTTGTTATGTTAGACCTGGGCGGCTTGGCTCTCTCCAAGGTCTGTCTCACCTTCCATCTCAGTTCATCCGCCTGAGCCTGAGGGATGTTCAAGGCCACCTCCTCGACTCTGGTAATGATGTCCAAGTATGGCACTCGCCTGATGATTGTGGCAAAGTTGAGACCCTTATTCAATACTGACTCTTCAGAGGCACTCAGCTGATATTGACTGATGTTGACTACTGCTTTCACTGGTGGGTGATGGACCTTGAGCGTCACCTTCTGATCTTTCAATTTATTTAATTTTTGTACTTGGTAAGCCTTGACTACATCAAATTCATTTCTGAAGGATTTATCCCGGTCATTTTGGATCCTTCTCTGGTCTTCTTCATTAGTAATTCTGTTGTAGAAATCCTCGAGCCTCTGGGAGATATGAGCTTGTAGTCTCTGTTTTATCCAACGATTGTACTAGATTCTCTCTCGGACAAGGGCGTGTCCACGAGCTCTCCTTGAATTGACAGGAAGTCTTGGTGCCAAGCATGAAGGGATGAGTTGTAGGTCTCTGCATCGGTGTAGGAATGTCAGATGCTTCAATATTCGTGCCAGTTTTTGGTACGATTTTTCAATTTGTCTCCATATTTTTGGTATATAGAGGGAAGATTAACAGGAGATAACTGACATCCATAAAACATGGCACGTGGAACTAGAACAGTCTACCCCAGTGAGTGAAATAAAGGGTTAAGTTTGACATTCCAAACATCTGAAGAAGGCCGGAGTGTACAACGGCTGAAACATTGTAATAAATATGGCGACAAAGATGAGGACAATAGTCTGAATAATGTAAATAATGTAACACATCAGGTTTGAAAGTATAGCAGTTTGGGATTATTAATTTATTGTCAAGTTATTGCTTAAAATTGCCAGATAATTACTGAGACAATTGTGGGAGAGTTGTATATTTGAAAGAAACAAATTCAAACATGATTAGTACAAAGAACTGACAAGTTTAAAAATCAAAATAACTACAAGTATTTTCACAGCAACTGTTCCAACAAGC